GTGGGGTGTTAAAATCCCCTACTATAAGTGTGTTGCTGTCTGTATCTTTCTTGAAGTCTTCCAAGATTTTCCTTATATATTTGGGTGCTCCTATGTTGTGTGCATATATACTTAGAATGTTTATTACTTCTTGATGGATTGTTCCCTTGAGTATTATGAAATGTCCTTCTGGGTCCCTTTTTGTGGATTTTGTTTTGAAGTCTATGTTGTATGATATAAGTATTGCCACCTCAGTAATACAGTAATACAAGGACAGGGATCTACCCTGTCCCTTGGCTTTGAATATTTTTTTCCAACCCTTAACTTTTAGTCTGTGTAGGTATTTTATTCTTACATGGACCTCTTGTAGACAACATATATCAATCAGTTCATTTTCTTACTCATTCAGCTACCCTATATCTTTTGTTTGGAGCATTTAATCCTTTAAAATTTAAGGTTATTATTGATAGCTACTGATTCATTTTCCCCCTTTGTACCTGTGTCCCTCTCCTTCTCACTCTTTTCCTTCCTCCTCTTACAGCAGTCGCTTTAGCATATCTTGCAGTGTTGCTTTGGGGCAGGTGTATTTTTTTAGGCTCTGTTTGCCTGGGAAACTCCTTATTTTGCCTTCCATTTTCATGGAGAGCCTTGTTGGGTAGAATAATCTTGTTTGCGGACCTTTGCTTTTCATTACTTGGGATTATTCTTGCCATCCTCTCCTGGCTTGAAGTGTTTCTGTTAAGAAATCAGCTGCTAGCCTTATCAGAGCTCCTTTGTATTGTACTTCTTGTTTCTCCCTTTCTGCTTTTAAGATTCTCTCTTATCTTTAAAACTTGGCATTTTAATTATGATGAGTCTTGGAGTAGGCCTTTTTGTAGGGTTCATCTTGATTGGGTCCCTCTGTGCTTCCTGACCTTGCATGGTTTTTCCCCTCTCCAAGTTCAGAAAGTTGTCTACCACTATTTTTTCAAATAGGTCTTCTATCTCTTGTTCCTTTTCTTCTCCTTCTGGTATTCCTATGATTTGAACATTGTTGCATTTCATGTTTTCCCACATTCCCCTTAATCCTTCTTTGTTCTTTTTGAGTGTCTTTTTCCTTTTCTTGCTTTTTCTAGGAATATTTTTCTACCTTGTCCCCCAGCTCACTGATTTGATCCCACACTTCATGTAGCCTCCTTTTAATTCCTTGTACTGTGTTCTTCAATTCAGAAATTGTTGGGTTTTTTTTTTTCATTTCCTCTTGACTCTTGATTGTTTCCGTGTCTTTCTTCATGCTGGTGTAATTCACAGTAAATTCCTTGTAGCTTCCCTGAAGTTTTTGGTAATTCTCACTGAGCTCATTGAGCTTCCTCATAACCATTGTTTTGAACTCAATAACTGGTAGTTGACTTGCCTCTATTTCATTTAGCGTTCTTTCTGAGGCTTCCTTCTTTCCTTTCATTTGGGGGTTGCTTCTTTGTCTTCCCATTATTTGTTCTACTCCTCTTGTTTGCTTCTTCTTCTTAAGTTAATCTGTTTTGACTCCCTGAGTTTGTGATGTGAACTTCTATGGTCGGAGACCTGTGAGATTCAGTGGTGTAATTTCATTGATCTGAACCTGATGCTATTTGGATGTCCTTTTTGCTATCTATGTTGGCTCTCTTGATTTAACTGGGTTTTGATTATTGTTGGATCATTCTTTGGTGAGTCCTTCCTTCCAGCTAGTTGACTGAGGGTCACTCTGCTCACCATGTCTTGTATGCTGTTGTGCAGGTGCTGCCAGAACAAAACCACAGATCCGAGGGAACAAACCCAAATCCACAAAAATAACTTCCCCTCGCAATCCCACTATCAACAGCAAACAAACCAGTATTAATAAGGATGTAAAGAGATTAGTACTATTATGAGAAAGAAGAGAAACAACCTATAGTATACAATCTAGTGCCTTAATATGCACAAACTTGATTGGATAAGAAATGAATCTTAAAAAATTATGTAGGAAAGAAAGTATCACTAATCATGGAAAAGACCAAAGAAGATTTCATCTCTGTAGCCTCTAGTATTTACCACTGTTTTTTCTTTCTGGATATGCCTCTGGTGATATCAGATGTTGACCCTGTCTGACCTTAGGCAACCTGTTTGAGACTTCCAGGGATCTACTGTCTGTGGCTATCTCCAATCTAGTCACCCTGCACTCAGCAGTCAGGCTTAAGCACCATAGGGCTGGGCAGAATCCCTCCTGGTGTTGGGGCTATTATTTCTTCTCAGGCTGCTGCTGCTCTGAGGGCAGTGGTCTGCATGAACAGGATGGCTGCTACTGTATGATGACTTGGCACTGGGACCCCGGCATCTACCTTAAAGTAATTTATCCCACAGTAAGAAGCTTTTTTCCCCAAAGCCTCTGTCCTCCATCTCTCTTCAGGCATCTCCAACCCACTGTGCCCCTCCTTTGCCAGAGACCAGGGTAAGTGGCTGCAAGTGAAAATTTGTGTGTTGGTTCTATAAATGGCTCTTTGCATCTCCAGCTGTCCGTCTCTGACAGAAAGCAACCCTGCTGCTTTTTGCTGCTAGTTATTGTCTATGTACCTTTGGGCTCTGGTGCTCTATGTTGAGTCTAAGCATAGGGTTTAGACCCTACACTTCTCAGGGGGATTCAATCAATTGTTTAATTATCCCTCCAGCGCTGCCACCTGTGTGCACCCAGCCAGCCTTCTCCAGTCTCCACCACATTCCTTACCAGTCAGTTAGTGCTAAAGATAACTCCTCTGTCTGCCTGAGGTTATAAGGCTTTTCTCTTGCTATTGTTCAGTTGTTTATTCTGGGTGATTTCTCCACAATTTAGTTGTAATTCCAGATTGGTTCTGGGAGGAGGTTAGTGTGGCTGCCATTCACTCCTCTGCCATCTTGCCTCTCTCTCTGTTTTCTACCTTTTTCTAATCTTCCCTAGCAAATCTAGGAGCCATGAAACATACCCATTAGTAACAGTTTCTCTAACTGATCTCAAAAGCTTGAGTCTGCTATTTAAGAAATACTAGAGTGGGCTTTGAGGATACCACTGTAACCAAGAACAAACATTATCCTTGGATTCATGAAACTCACAGTCTCAAAGAGCAACATGAACAATAAATACAGACATATACCCAAAATAGCAGGAATATATGCATTAGTTTGCACTTACTGTACCCTCACTTTGAAACAGTACTACCAGTGATTCCACTTACCACCACCCCATACCTCCAGAGAACCAGAGAACCACAGACTTCAACATTGTGAATCCCTGTGTTAGATGTTAGAAGAGAATTAAACTCTATAACACCTACAAGATATTTTTCCCAAAACTAATTAATTAATAATTGACATATAAGTAAAGCAATCTAGGTAGAGATAAGAGACATAAGTAGCAGTCCCAAATCTAGACCTGGCTACATAATTTGTAAGTACTGCAACAAAAAATGTACAGCCTCTTGTTCAAAATTATTGAGAATTTCAAGGCAACAACCGAACATTTAAACTAAGCCTATTACCCTTTGTGACTGCATAGGTCACATACCTATGAAATCTTCATGGTTTCTACACTTATTAGAAGTTCAACTTTTAGCCAGCCACTTAACTTACCTCAGGTTCTTTAGAGGTACAAAATTAAGGGAAAGAAGATTTTCAGTTTCTTCCACTAATATTCGTGTTTCTCTGTTAAGGAGATATGTCATTTACTTTAAGAAAGTTGTTTTACCCTTTAATATAACCACTAAAATTCTGACTGTGATGTAAAACCAGTTTTGAAAATCCATACAGAGCATTTCACCTTCAACCATAATGATGTTTTTATGTATGTACACCTCCTTAATTGTGTCTAAGAGAAAAAAAATCTCCAAACACTGTTCCAAGTTTGCCATTTTCCCAAGTATGCCATTGAAATCTGAAATTCCAAACTGAGGTCTCTATCTATAAAGTAATTTATCCCACAGTAAAATGTCTACTTGCACAAATTAGACAGTTTTTCCTATCCCTAAAAAATTATCTAATCAGAATCAACCTCCACCCTCTATGGTACAGCAACTAGGTCTGCTCCAGTTTAAAAAAAAAAAAAAAGAGGCAAAATGTCAATTTCAGAAGGAGTTAAATGTTTTATTCTATTAGTTTAGTATTTAATATAACATAACTGATAACTATCTAAACCAGAGGTGCTTAATCTGGAATCCATTAAAGACTTCTGATAATTAGTTAGCTAAAATAGAAAATATTATATATGAATATGAATATAAAATACATATTTTATATATACATCTTTATTGTCATCAAGCTCTAAATAAAATTTAGCATTTTCTTCAAATGTGAATGTAGGCAACAATCTCAATCACCAATGAAGATTATATATATTTTCATATCATATACTTATTGCATATATCTTAAACACTATTTATGCTCAACACCTCAAAATTAGAATAGTTATTGGACCCCAATGATAGATCATGTGATTTGATGTGTTAGAAAAACTGTATATGATATAACACAAAATTGTTACACTGAAATAGCTATGTTTCAGTATTATTAGCTTCTCTTGTAATCTTAAATATATCATTTTATGCATTTAAAAACATAATTCTCAGGAAAGGTCAACAGACATCACCAGAATACTCAAAGGGTAGATAGCACAAAAAAGGTGGCAAAAACATTGGTCAAAAGAAGTTAAGGAGCTCATGTGAAGATAAAACAGAAACACCTGTACCCTTGTAATAGATCTATTCTAATAAATACTGTCTTTAAAATCTAGTTCAAGCCATGACTAGTATGGCTCAGTGGGTCTGGTGTCGTCATCCCACAAAGCCAAAATCTAGTTCAACAATAATGGCTACATAGAGCAAAATCTTTGCAGTATATTTTTTAATATAAAAATATTAAATACACCAAAACAAAACAGTTTTTTTCTTTTTGTCTGTTTTGTTTTTTACTTTTTCAAACATGACAACTGAATGTAACATGAAAGAGTATAACCCAGGTAAATGTTTTGACTCCACTATCTAAAGTGTTATTTGAATTGGTACCTGAGATGACAGTAGGTTACAGTCAATGAACAGTCCTTTTCCAGTTCTGTATCTTTGTATTAATCCAGCCATAATTGCTCCATATGCATACAGGCCAGTGGCAAGATCAGTCATGGCCACTCCTGGACGAACTGGATCTCCATCCTGATTTAAGAGTTAGGTTAGAAAAAGAAAATTTAGAATTGAAACCATCATATGATTTCTCCAATAACAAGGGTCAAATAGAAGAAAGAATTGTATATAACATATATAAAAATAAACTAAAGAAATTCCACAAAAACTACTTTGTAGGACTCTGTTGGTAGTGAGAATACAGTTACATTTACTATGTAACCAATGAATTTCTCACCCTACACCCTACCAAATAAACGAAACAAAACCAAATGAAATAAAATATTTTTAAACATGTCTGGAATCCTTTTTAATACATTTTACCTTATTTACTCTAAAAGAGAAAATAATTGAATCTGAGTCAATCTGTTGCAAAGGAAAGAGCTAAAGTAGTATTTTTGGGAGAGCAGACCCTCCAAAAATGGTATTTATAAAAAACTCTGTATTCTTACATGTTTAAACTTCAGTCACCTTCAAAGTACTCCCCATTTGATACTAGACACCTATTGAGACACTTTTCCCACTGCTCAAAACAGTTTTGAAACTCATTGATTTTAATGCCTTTTAGTGATTCTGCCACTTTTTGTTTCACCTCTTAAACACTGGCAAAATTTTCCCTTTGAGGACTTTTTTCATCCAGGGAAACCAAAAAAAAAGTTGCTCAGGGTGAGATTGGGTGAATAGGGAAGGTGGGGGACAAGGGTCATACCATTTTTGGTCAAAAACTGCTAAATACTCAGCACAGTGTGAGCAGCTGTGCTCATAAATCATTCATCATGAAATAGGCACATGTGTTGAGTCTTCAAAACAAATTCATTGAAGCCAAACGCAGCCTCAAACAACAATACCAGCTGGTACATCTATATTAGTATACAGATGGGTTCCTAGAACACTCACCTAGTTGGGGAAGCCTATACTACAAGGGGCCTGCCTTCCAGAAGATAATTCTGGTTTTTGTGGGGTCCCCCCTTATATTTATTTGTCTATGGTGTATAGGGGGCTCTCCCAAGGGGAAAAAACCTGATCTAATTTCCTTATAAACATGGCAATAACTGGCAAATAAACTAATAGTATTTGATTTAATAAAACCACCTGAACTCAAGATGGCAATAGATTAGGTGGAACCTATACTACCCTCCTCCCAGAACCAAGCTAGAATACAACTAAATTATAGAAATATCATCCTCAATAAACAAATGAACAAGCTGGAAAGCAGCCTTATGATGAAGGACTTCTATTCCAAGCCACATCAAGACTGGTAGAAAGTACAGAAGTATGAAAGGGCTGGCTGAGCCCCCATGGGCAGCAACCGAAGTGCCAGAGGCATATCTCAGCTATGGGGGAGTTTTCCCTGAGAAGTGTGGGGTCTGAAAACCAAGCCAGGTCACCCACACTAGAGAACCATAAAAGGGAAAGGCTCCCATATAATATCTGGCTGTGTAAAGCAATGGTACTTCTGTCTACCAGAGAAAAATGGCTAGAGATGCAGCCACATTCTTCAAAGGCCAAAACACTAAATTTTGTTTGTAGCCACTTATCTGAGCTCCAGAAGAGAAAGGTAAAAGTAGACTAAAGCCACATGAGGAGAACCTGGGTTTGGTGACTCTGAGGAGAGAGCTGAAGGGCCAGCCTCCAGGATCCCAGTATACAGTCATCCTCCTCGTACTGCAGAAGCCATCTTTCTTGGGCACAGCACTCCCCTCCATCAGTCATTGACAGGGGGTGAAGTGACAGCCCCACCTGAAGGAATCCATCTTGCCACACCCTGTGGAGGAAGAGTCCTCTTGGGGAGTACAGCTAGAAGCTCTTCAGTGACTAAGCCTAATAGACAGCCAGCAGGTAAAAGCATATAGCAGTACTTTGAGACTTTTGATGACCCACCTCCAGGATCAGTGCTCATAAAAGCCTGTCTTGTTGCACAGCATGGTCCTTTCCAATGAATCTAGGTGCAGGGAAGGAACCATAAGCTGTGGATCACTCATAGCTCCAAACAGGTTAACCAGGGCTAGTCACAGGCAACATCCAAAAGAGGTGTGCACCGGTCTTTGTAGGTCAATGTAGTATATAAAAAAAGAGGAAGCCAAAATGGGGAGACAAAGAAACAGACCCCAAATGAGAAAACAAGGGATTCTCCAGAACATGAGCTAAATGAAATGAAGGCAAGCAATTTGTCAAATATAGAGTTAAAGTAATAATTAAAAGAATGCTCAAATGGCATTAAAAAACATACAAACCATAAAAGGGACTATTGCAATAAAGAATGCAATATCTGAAATGAATAATACACTGGAAAGAATAAAGAGTAGGTGAGATGAAGCAGTGGATCAAACCAGGAATTTGGAAAACAACATAGAAATGAACAACCAGGAATTCCGGCCATGATAGAGGCATAAATAGACATACATTGCCTCCTCACACAACCAAAAGGACAACAACAAATTTAAACACACACACAAAAACAACCAGAATTGACAGGAAATTAAACTGTATGGAAGTCAGACAACCAAGGAGTTAAGAAAGAAACATTCATCCGGACTAGTAGAAGGGACAGAGACGGGCAGCCGGGTGGAAAGGAATCATGGCAAGGCAGTGGCTGAAGGACCAGGATGGGCAAGACAGTGGCTGCCAGACTGGGTGAAGCAGCAGCTTGAGGGCAGGGAAGTCCCACATTCATGTGCAGATAAACCTGAAGGAATAACTGGGGAGCAAGATAGACAGAGTAACCCAGGGTTCCACAGGATTCCAGTACAGGGAAATAAAGCCTGAAAGCCCCGGACTGAAAACACCTGTGGGGGATGAGGCAGCAACAAGAGCAACTCCCACCTCTAAGGACAGTTCACTGGAGAGACCCACAGGGTCCTGGAACACATACAAACCCACCCACCTGGGAATGAGCACCAGAAAGGCCCAATTTGATCAAGGGTAGTGGGGAAAGTGACTGAAACCTAGTAGTTAGTAAGGGTAGTGGGTAAAGAGCAGAGCAAGTGGTGCTGCTCCCTCTCAGAGCCCTCCCCCACACACAGTGTCACAACACAACAACAGGGTTGCCCCACCCTGGTGAAACTTAAGGCTCTGCCCCTTACTATGTAACAGGCACACCAACACACACACACATACACAAATGGCCCAAATGAAAGAACAGATCAAAGGCCCAGAAAAATAAATACTACTAAGCAATGAAGAGAGAGCCAACCTATCAGATGCAAAGCTCAAATCAATGGTAATCAGGATGCTCACAGAAATGGTTGAATTAGAGGAAAAAATGAAGGCTATGAAAAGTGAAATAAAGGAAAATGTACAGGGAACCAACAGTGAGGGAAAGGAAACTGGGACTCAAATCAATGCTTTGGACCAGAAGGAAGAAAGAAACATTCAACCAGAACACACTGAAGAAACAAGAGTTCAAAAAAATGAGGAGAGGCTTAGGAAACTCCAGGACATCTTTCAATGTTTCAACATCCAAATCATAGGGGTGCCAGAAGGAGAAGAACAGGAAACTGAAAATTTATTTGAACAAATAATGAAGGAGAACTTCCCCAATCTGGCAAAGGAAACAGACTTTCAAAAAGTCAGGAGGCTCAGAGAGTCCCAAAGAAGTTGGACTCAAGGAGGAACACACCAAAGCACATCATAATTACATTAGCCAATATTAAAGATAAGGAGAACATCTTAAAAGCAACAAGAGAAATGGAGACAGTTACCTACAAAGGAGTCCCCATTAGACTATTAGCTGATTTCTCAAATGAAACCTTGCAGGCAAAAAGGGGATGGAAAGTATTCCAAGTCATGAAAAGCAAGGACACACATCCAAGATTACTGTATCTGGCAAAGTTATCTTGTAGAATGGAAGGGCAGATAAAATGCTTCTCAGAAAAGGTCAAGTTAAAAGACTTCATCATCACCAATTCCTTATTATATGAAATGTTAAAGGGACTTATCTATAAAAAAGAAGATCAAAACTATGAACAGTAAAATGATAACAAACTCACAGATATCAACAAGCAAACCTAAAAAATACAACAAAAACAAACTAAGCAAACAACTAGAACAGGAACAGAATCACAGAAATGGAGATCACATGGAGGGTTATCAGCGGGGGAGTGGGAGAGGGAAAGCTACAGAAAATAAGTAGCATAAATGGTAGATAGAAAATAGTGGGAGGTTAAGAATAATATAGGAAATGGAGAAGCCAAAGAACTTTCGTGCATAACCCATGGCATGAACAAAAGCAGGGGAATGTTGGTGGGAAGGGGTGTGCAGGGTGGAGGGGAATAAAGAGGTGGGGAATAGGACAACTGTAATAGCATAATCAATAAAATAAATTTTTTAAAAAAGAAAAGAAATTAACAACCAGGATGGCAGCCAAGTAGTAGAAGCTGAGTCTACTTGCTCTTGTACTCAACTTGAACACTTGGCTGATCTTCCAAAAAATAAACTGAACATTCAATGGAATCTTAGCTAATATTAAGTTTGGAGACCAAGGAGTACAGAATATGCTTCACATTGGGCAGTAAGGAGCTTTTGTAGGTGAAAGGGGAAATACCCTGTGCTTGACTCCTGGAGCCACAGAGAGCCTGGTCAAAGATCACAGCTTTGCAGCTCCATCCTCTCCCAAGGCGGGAAACACCAGACCCAGGATAGAAGTGACTTGGATATACAAAGCCAGGGAGATCCAGGCTACACACACACAGCAGCACACCCATCACTGCAGTGATGAACACCAACTGGGAGAGTGCCAGAGAGAGGGAGAGGGATTCTATCTGACCCTGGATCGGGAGGAAGAGGCTAGCCTTGGCCAGCATTGACTGTGAGAGACTCTTGACTTTCTGGGAGAGGTGGCATGTACACAAAGCCAGACAGTGACTTAATGCTGCAGTGGCAGTGCCCAAAGAGACTTTTAAAAAGGGGAGTTGAGGCGATCTGGGCAGGGACCCCACATGCAGCTGTCCTGCCAGCAAGGGGAAAGGATTGAGGGAGTGGTTTGCTCCCACTCAGTGCAGCTGGGCAGATTCATCAGAAAGGTGCAAAGCAAG